CATACAAATATGCTTCCCTGACGTGCGGGATGGGGGACTTTAAGACCACTAAGATATTCACGTACATGCCATGGGTTTAAAATCTATGTTTTTTGGCCCCTCTATCCAAAACCAACTCATTTCTGAAGTATAGATAATCTTAGAAGAAGGAAGAAACCTGAGTACAAAGCCCAGTAATTTCCATCTAACCCATGGCCAATGTTCCACAAAGCTTCCTGAAGGCGCCAAAGGGGAGAAAATACCCAACTAATCCTAGAGAGAGAAACACGCTGCATATGAGACGTTCTGTGGAGTTGCCGCCAGCTGTCTGCAGGCCCTGGGAAAATGACAATCTCCCCCATACAGCATCTCCTGCAAGGCAGGTACGGCCTCTCCTGGAGCCTAGACGCCCATTCTGCCTTCAGGTCCTGAGCACCAGTGGCTTCTGAGAGGGTTGCTGAAGCCCGGGGGCGGAGCTCAGATAACCAACAGCACTTCAGAGCTGGGGGTGGTGGTCTTCGAGATGAGTTCTCACCCTCATTTTACAGACCAGACGAGGAAACCGAGCCTCAGGGGCGTCCTGTTGTCTTGCCCCAAATCCATCCTCATTCCCAGCAACACAGAACCAGAGCTCAGGTCTGTGCCTTCAGGAATCAGGGACAAGGCCGAGCTCCCGGCCGAGTACGGCACAGGACACGCGTGTCCTATCTCCCCACGGTCCCTGTGGAAGCCCCAGGGCAGAGAGCAAATGCACGCCGTTACATTAGGAACCTGCAAGGACAAAGAGAACCACTGAGGAGATGATGCCAGACGCGAGATGTCCACAAACTTCTAGAAGAGGCCAGCAGATGCATAGGTGGTAAATAATAGATCAGGGTGGAAAAGGCTGAAGCCTAATCTCCTGCAGAGAAGGAAAGCAATAAAAAGCGAGGCGATTGCACCACTGAGCTGTGAAAAAGCCTCGGGCATTGGACGCTCCGGGCTGCCCTGAAATCAGTGGTGGGGGCTGCAAAAAGGAGGTGGAGGTTCGGACGAGGAATACTTAGAAGCCCAGTTTCCCTCTGTCCCTTCACAAACACGGACCTCTTCATGCACACGCCCAGAGGCCCTGCGGACACAGGGCTTCTTTAGGAACGGGACCCCAAGGAGCTGGGGTGAAGGGACAGCAGAAGTGGATGGGGAAGGGGGCAGGAGGGAGAACCCCGGACAGGACGCATTCTTCTTTTTTTTATTTGAGAGAGAGAATGAGAGAGAGAGAGCACAAGAGAGGGGAGGGCAGAGGGAGAAGCAGACTCCCCCTGAGCAGGGAGCCCGATGCGGGACTCGATCCAGGGACTCCAGGACCATGACCTGAGCCGAAGGCAGTCGCTTAACCAACTGAGCCACCCAGGCGCCCAGAACGCATTCTGACCAGTGTTGTGGGCGACGGGCTGCTGCCTGCCATCGGGCTTTCTGGGAAGATTGGCCAAGTGGCTCTCAGGACCCTCTGCCCTGGGGGGCTGGGGAGGGGAGAGCCTGGTGCGTCACCTCCACCTCCCATAACCTGCCCCTCCGGGGTGCTGCTGCGTAAGTCCTGTGGAGCTTCCCCTCCAAGGCACCTGGGAAGCTTGGGGTCACAGTCACAGGCTGTTGGCCAGGCGCTGTCGGGGTGTACCTGCGTGACACCTGGCCACACCTGCATGGAACCTGTCACCACAGCAGGGCCTGGGAGAAAGGTGAATGGAGAGGATTTAAATCTCTATAAAACCTCTAACAGTTACTGAGCTGGAGGCTTTGGGCCAGGGAGTTCCAGATGCAGGGAAGGGTTTTAGCAAGGGGCTGAAAATGAGCTTTAATTGAAAACCGGATCACTAGAAAGACTTTTCCCCAACCCACTTCCCTTGATTGGGTCTCTGGAAACCTGTGGCTATATTCATACCCTCAGGCAGGAGACAGGGGGATCTTCCCAAGAGAAACAGAGGAGCATAAAATAAAAGGCCTACAAATACTGGTATTTCCAGGTCCCTGCAACCAAATGACCATGTCCCAGACCAATAGCCCTAAAAGGAATCCCACCACTGAACAAGCTTCAACCGTGCACGTGAACCTTCTGGTCTTCTCTGCCCCTTGCTCTCCAATAAGGAGGGATTGTCAGAGTCTACCAGGAAACCGAGGCAAGCCCATAAAAAAGAAACAGCTTTTGTTTTAAAAGTTCTCTCTTATATTCATGGACTCTCTTCTCTTCCAGTGCATTTTAGTGTTTGGCTGTGGCTATTGACAGTAGCCTCGGGGACACAAAAAGCATCTTGGCATTCAAGAGGCGGCATTAAGATTAAGAGTGTGTGAAGATGCCAGAATCAGATTAACGATAGTAGCATGAAATTGGGAAGTCACTCGATGTAGCTGTTGCTCAGTTTCCTCATCAACCACATGAGAAATCATAATGAACCCCAACTGCTCCTGGTGCCACAGAGCTCTGAAGAAAGAGCTTGCGTTGGTACAGGGCACCATTCACTTCGAATACAAAACAGGCATGACCGCATGAGGAAGCCCGATTCTGCAAAGCGACCCGGGAACATCGCAGGGCTCCGCACGCCACCACCACGGTGACAGGGCCAGAGACGCACACACCCTGCTTGCTTCTGGAGAAACCTTCTCCTCCCAGCTCCGGGTATGCATAGCCTCACCCCGAGTCTGCGAAATACTCTCCCCACATCCTTCACAGTATGTAGGTCAGCCACCCATGTCACAAGTTGTCCCTTATCAGCCAGAAATGCATCCCATTGAGCTTGTGCATCTCTGAGCCCTCACACCTCCACATAGCCCAGATCCTTGCACTGTGCCTTCTAGAGCTCGAGGTCATCTGCATAATCTTCTATACCTCAACCTCCTGTACAGACATCACTTCTCTGTTCTCCTCCCGCTGAATCCTGGCTACCTGTGGAAGATTCTGCATCGTCCTCCTCAGCTGGTCCTTTCAGACGTCGAGCCAGCAGGCAGGGATGTGGAGCAGGTGCGTCCAGCTCCTCACTGCGGCTTCTAGACCAACATACCTCCTTCCTTGTGAAATAAATCTCATTCTCTGAAGCCCTTGCCATTAGCTACCTGTCATCATGACCATAATCTATGAACCACTGGGCCAATCCCCTCTTTCCTGAAGACCTCTGTCTGTCTGTCTGTCTCCTCATGTCTAAGGACAGTCCCTCCCTCCACCTGTGCCCTGAATTCAGTCCCCTCCAGTTTACTAAAAGATAAGACTGCGGCAATTTTCCAACCTCTCTTGCATCTTTCCCTTTCTCTGGATTACTTCCATGATAATACAAAGAGACTCGCATCTTTTAAAACAGGAATAAAATAAAAGAAACTCCCTTGAACTCACCTGATTCTTGCTTACTCTTCACTTGTCCACTTCCCTTTATAGCAAGACTCCGGCAAAGAGGAACTGTAATCCCTGAATCCACATCTTGTCCCACCATCATCTTCTGAAACTACTCAAGTTAGACTGTTATCTCCACAATAACACCAAAACTACCTTCAGCAAGGTCAATTCCATGTCATGAAATCCACTCAGCCTTTGACACCAAAGGCCCTTTTTCGGGACGCATTTGCCTTCATCTGGTCTCTGGGAAGCCACACCCTCAGCCCTCCTCCCAACACACTGGCCACCCCTCCATTCTCTCCATAACCACTTCTCCACCAGGGGACTCAGTCCTCAAACCTCTGCACTCTTCATTTATGCAAACCTTCTAGGTCATCTCATCCATTCTCGCTTTAACTTCAATCCATACGCAGTCGGCCAAACATATATATTCCCTCCCTGAGTTCCGCAGAAACATCTCCTCCTAGGAAGATGGCGTCTCATCAGCCTCTGTCTGGCATCTCCAACATAACAATCTCAAAACATAACTCCTGATTTTCCCTCCCAACTCTGCCACTCCCACAGTGTTCTACAAATCAAGTAATGATTAAGTCCATTCTCTCATTTAATCAGGCCAAAACAACTCAATTCCTCTTTCTTAGAGTAACTCCAATATGCCATATCTATCATCTATCCTCTATCTGTCAGCTATCATCTATCATCTATCATCTATCTATCATCTATCCAGATCTAAGACGCTCCTCAGGGAAAGGAGAAAACTCTTTATGTTTATACTTACCAAATATCTCTGAAACTCACTCCTCTATGAATCAAAAATTAGCTCTTGGTATAATTTCTCTCAGCACAAATTTCCCACTGGTTTCTGTGTCTCTGTATGTCAGATGACGGGAAATGCTCTAATCAAACAGCCCTGGAGCTACCATCTGATCCAGCAATCCCACTTCTGGGTATTTCCAAAGGAATTGAAATCAGGATCTCAAAGAGCATTTGCACTCCCATGAGCATTGCAGCATTATTCACAATAGCCAAGATATAGAAACAACCTAAATGTCCATTGACAAGAAAATGTGATATATATATATATATAATGGAATATTATCTAGCCTTAAAAAGAAGGAATTCCTGCCAATGGTGACAACATAGATAGGCCTAGAGGACATTATATTAAATGACAGAGAAAGACAAATACCATATGACCTCACTTATATGTGGAATCTAAAATAGTCAAAACTTGTAGATGCAGAGAGTAGAATGGTGGTTGCCAGGGGTGGAGCAGAGGGGGGGCAGGTGAGATGGGGATGTTGGTCAAAGGGTGCAAAGTTGCAGTTATGCAAGATGAACATGTACTTAGATCCACTAGACAGCATAGATCCTATAGCTAAAAATAATTCTATACTTAAAACTTGCTAAGAAGGTAGATCTTATGTAAAGTGTGCTAATAATAATAATAATAATAATAATAATAATAATAATAATGGCAGGAGGAAACTTTAGGACTGAGGGACATGTTTATGGCCTTGATGGTGGTGATGGTTTCACAGGTGAATACTTATTCCCAACCTCATTGAGTTGTATTCATTAAATATATACAGCTTTTTATGTGTCAATTATACCTTAATACTTAAAAAAAAAGAAGGAGAGTACCCAAAGGACTTGACTCAACATATGCTTTATTACAAGGCAGAAGACGGTAAGTGAGCAAGTCGAGCTTCTTCCCTCCCTCCATCCCTGCCAACTTCAACAGCCTCTGTTGGATTGACCAGTTGATGAAGACCGTAGCACCCCTCTGGCTGGGGTTTCTTCTGGGCCATTCTGAAGTTCCAGAGTATTTAGAGGAGCTATGGAAAGAGCCAGCATAAGGGTCCACTTGTCTGGGTCTCTGTCATCTGGGACCAATTTCAGGATTAAAATAGGCAAAGTATGTGTTGAGGCCTCTTCTACATCGTATACTCAATAACTATTTCCCAAGCACACCGACGTGCTGTGCCGACCTTTGTGTGGATGCAGGGATGGAGACTGTGACCTGCCCTCTCAGGGCTCAGGATCCAGAAGGGAGGCATTCTCACTTGTTTAAAACAAAACAAAACAAAACAAAAACACCTCATGTTTTATTCTCTTTATCCCCCTCTGCCCAAACCTACTCCTGTTGACTACCCTCTGACTACCCAAGTGCATCTGTTACCAATATCCAAGGCCCTGTCTCCTCTGCCCACATCAAGCAGACCTCGGCTGCAACAAGGAATTAAAATTGCAGATTAAATGCCCTCATTCTTAGGCAAAATGACTGGGAGTCCACTTTAAACTCCTACAGTTTTTGAATATAATAATGCTTTTTATATTAAAATAAGAATCAATATTTTACACTTTAAGAAACTTTATGTATGTACAAAATTTTATTCATTGAGATGGTCTTAAAGCAAATAATAGGCTTTTCATCATAAATCTATTTTTCTTTGAAGACTTAAATTCTTTCTTGTTGAAGTCCCTTGCAACAGGCAGCATGACCCAACATTAGTTGGAACACTTGCAAGGAGTTTCACGAGCTGTTTTATGTTTCCCTTGCATTTCTTTTTTCCACATTAGAGCACCCCACACTGTTTCTGTAAATTGTATTTGCTAAGTGTACAAGGTATCAACCGAAGTTTTCTGAGAAATAGTTCAGAAGCAGGAACCACTGTGTTGGAGAAACAACTGATTACATTTTGGGCTTTTCGATGCTATTATTTCCAGAATTGGAATTCTGAGAAACCAAGGGAATGTTTCTATTTAGTGAATGTGTATCAATAAATGCTGGAGTTTCATTTGAAAAAATACCACAACCAAAGAAAATTCCCTAAGAGCTTTATAAAAGACCAAAATTGTCTTTGAAAAAAACAAATAGAGCCCAGAACTTTTGTTTTCTAGGACATTTTTTGGATATAAAGGCATGGACACATCATCATCTAAAGTTCTTCTCATTCTTGGGGCACCTGGGTGATACAGTCGGTTAAGTTTCCGACTCTCGGTTTCAGCTCAGGTCATGATCTCAGGGTCATGAGATCAAGCCCGGAGTTGGGCTCTGCACTCAGCAGGGAGTCTGCTGGAGATTCTCTCTCTCTCTCTGCCTCTCCCCCCGCCCACACACACACTCTCTCTCTAAAATAAATAAATCTTAAAAAAAAAAGTTCTCATTCTCAATAGCTCCCACATATTCATCACTTGATCTAACAAGTTTATCTTAAAAAGGCAATTGCCAATGGATCACATTCCAGGTTTGGGTGCATTTAAGGCAGGTGAATTCCTTGGGCTTGCATTCACACCAGGTAAGGTTACTCACCTCCTCCTCCTCCAGGCTCCATCAACTCTACAAACAGACATTGAACCCAGACCCGGGGCTTGTCTTTGTTTTACACTATCACTCACCTTCTCACCCACCATCACCAGGTCTCATCACTTCTGCATCCACACAGGTGCATCTGGACCCAGTCAGCTTATCTCCACCTTCACTACCCACTCCCATCCGGGGTGGCCACAACCCTTCACCTGTGTGATCTGGCCCCAAGCCCCCCTTCTCTTGGCTCACTATGCCCTAGTGACCCAGTCTCCTTTCAGTTCCAGCAAAGATCTTCTCCGAGCCAGGGCCTTTGCACGTGCTACTGCCTCGGCCAGATATGAAGTTAGAGCAGGCTCTGCAAATTACAACTTAAGCTGTCGAGTCAGAGAAGTTACTTTCTGAGACCGAAAGAGTGAGTAGACCACCTTGTTATACTGTCTCATGATATGTGCCCTTGAATATATTAAAGTCACACTAATTGTATAATTACAATTATTTTTAGTCTGCCTCCCCACTACATTATAAGCCCCATGAAAACAGGTATATGTCTATTTTCCCATGAAGGATAGCTCCTTTTTTTGGAACCCCCCAAAATAAATAATAAATAAATAATCACCTACTCAATAAATATTTGTTAAAGAATAATGTTATTTTCTCCCTCTAAAAGCTGGCCTGCCCCAGAATGTCACTTTTTTTTAATTTAGATTTTTTTTAAAAGATTTTTTTAATTTATTTATTAGAGAGAGAGAGAGTGAGAGAGAGAGCGCAAGAGGGGGTAGGGTTAGAGGGAGAAGCAGACTCCCCGCCAAGCAGGGAGCTCGATGAGGGACTCGATCCCGGGACTCCGGGATCATGACCTGAGCCGAAGGCAGTCGCTTAACCAACTGAGCCACCCAGGCGCCCTAATTTAGATTTTTTAATAGAAAAGACTGTTTCAGAGAAACACAGAGCTCTCCCTCTCAACATCATTTGTTGCAAAAGAAATAAATCTTTGTGTTTGAGCTGTTACCTATTTCAGATTTATCTCTCATTCACATAAAACTCAATGTTAGCATTCTGGACCTGCAGGGGCTTCCCTTCTCTAGAAGAAAACCCAAGTTCCTTCCACCTGGGAAGGACCATGTTGAGTTCAGAGCTGGGAAGACTCGCCGTTCATTTGCTTCAGGACAGAGAAGGGGGAGAGCTGGGAGGACGGGGCATGGAGGTGGCTCACCTGCCTCACACTCCCCTGCAATCCAATAGGACTCTGTGCTTGGCCACGCCCAGCTGTAGGAGAGACGGGCAGCTAGGTTCTGGGACAAAAACAAGAGAAATTTCTTAATGGTCAGTTCCCGGGCAACTCCAAACTTAACAGAGTTGTGTTTCAACTACTCCTCTCCCTTAACTAGGCTTACTGTGGTGATCATTTTGCAATATATACAACATCAAATCATTATGTTGTACATCTGAAACTAATATAATGGTATATATCAATATATAGAGAGAAAGCATGAAATGTACAAGAATAGAATTAGGGTCAAAGTCCCAAGGGCTACTGAGGTGGCACTGGGTGAGAAGGAAAAGTCCCAGGAGGCTTCCTTTCTTACAGGGTCGGGGGGTGCAGACACACCAGACAGGTTCACAAGGTGAGCAAGCAGCCTATGTGCCTGGCATGCTTTTTTAGGGGCATAGCTAGGACTTTGATTGGCATTGCATGCGTTTAATTTCTGAACTGCCTAAACTGACCCATTTCTCTGCCTTCCAGATGAATATATAAGAAAGCCCTTACCCATCTTAAGAAAATTACATGAAACCAACTTTTCTTTTTTCTCTTATTGAAACATATTTGACATATAACACTGTGTAAGTGTAAGGTTTACAATGCATTGCTCTGATACATTTATACATTGTAATATGATTGCCGTTATAGGGATAGTGAGCACCTCTAGCCTGTCACGTAAGTATCATTGCTCTTTTGTGCTGGGAATAAGTGGATCTCGTCTCTGAACAGGTTTGATAATGCTAGTACGGAACTGTCTAGGTTCACTATACTGTGCTTCGGATCTCTGGGACTCTTCCACTGCTTGGAGCTTTGTGCCTTTGAATCTCTGTGATGCTCCTACCCCGGCCCCTGGTGACCACCCTTTTACTCTCGGTGCTTTGAGCATGGCACTTTTAGATGCACGTTTAGGGGACACCATGCTGCGTCCCAGTGTCCAGCACTCACTTCTGCTGTTTGCTTCTGCCTTTCCTCTCTACTTTCCTAGCTCTTTTTGACTTTTTTTTTTGCCACTTCTCCCCATCTCTCACTCCTTTAGTTCTGGATCCTTCCATTCCCCTGTCTCCTCTCACTGTGTCAGACTCGGGGCCTCGATCATCTGGGAGGAGCTGGTCCAGCTAATTTCCTTCTCATGCTGGGCTGCAGATGCCACACTTCCACCCTCGTTTCATTTGTGATGAATCAATCCAAAAATAAGTATTGAGGGCAGAGTATGTGCCAAGCATCCTTGGGCACGGTGGGGCCCAAGAGGATTTTGTTCCCAGGATGTCAGAGAGCTGACCAAATTAGCGAAATTCTAGGGTCGGGGTAGGCTGTGGTGTGACCCTGAAGCTGTCGATGAGCTCCGTGGCTTTATTTGCAGTGTTTACCCTCTCCAAGCCTGCGTTTTTCCATCCATAAAATGGACATTATAAGAGGGCCTGCAACGGAAGGTGCCAGCAGAGGCCACGCGAGATAATTTGTAGGAAACCTTCACTACAGAGGATGCTGCAATGCTGAGATGTATGGAGTTCTTATCACCTCCTCAAACTCATGCTGAATTGGCAAAATGACGACACCCACCGACCTGACATCCGTGGAACAAGTGATGGGTTTTCAACTCATCTGTCATTTCAAGGCTGATTCCCGGAGCTACGTCGGCTCCAACCTGCCCGCCACCCCCGGCCCCACACCTCCTGCTAGCATCTGAGTGAGAAAGGCACGGTTATACATATCAAGTAGGCAGCAAGATGGTCTCGGGACCCCAGCCCCTCTGCCTAGTTTAAAGCCATGGGGTCCGGGGAGGGTAGTGGTTCCCTCAGCTGCGGTTTGGGGCTTGGAAACGACAGTGTGTGCTGGAAGCCCGAGCACACGGGGCGGGGGGCAGCTTCGTGTGTGATTTTAACTGGTGTTGATGTGTACTGTGGCCGGTGGACACTTCCTCCCCCAGCAGGGCGACTGAGGATAATGCTCATGCACCACATATGGCCACGCCTCAGTGAGGATTTCGGTAAGAATCATGTCTTTTGGAGACCAGCTCTTGGGGAGAGATTGCTCTTTTTCATCGTTTTGCCTGGAAATAGGAAATTCCCTTCCTGCAGTGATGCAAAGCAGTCTTCTGATCCTCCTACAGAAGCACACATATGCTCGCACAGCGTCCCTCCTCCAGATCCCTGAAGCTGGGCTCCACTTGCAAAATTCATGAGTCACAGGATCCCGGTTGCACAATGATATTGATGATGATCTGAAGGATTTCTAACTTTTTAAAATGCTTTCTTCTCGGTTCTTACTTCATTCTCGAGCAAATGGGAGAAGCAAGCCCTGACATTACTGTTCCTTACGTCACCTATGAGGACACGGTGGTCCAGAGGCGCTGACGTCACAGAGCCCGCAGGGGGAGAAAACGGAGCCAGCATGCTGGTCCGCTGAGTTCTGGTCGTGTTTTCTTTCTGCCCTCTGATCCCGCCGCCCCCCTCCCCTCATTAGTGAATTGCCCCTCTTCTCTCTATAATCAGGGAAGAACCACTCATCCAAGCTTTGGTTGTGACATTTCTCTAATTTTTTCCCTTCCAATCTGGTCCTAAGCGTACACAACTGTCCTCCCAATGTCTTCACTGCTCCTACTCCCTCTTGCTGCAACGTGTATCTGTCTTCACTACCGCACTGTCCCTCCTAAAAATAATCTCTGAGACTCTATGATCTATAGAACAAAACCAAACTCTTCACGCCACACGAGAGGTCCCTCCCTACTTCTGTAAGCTCGCCTCCAGGAAGAGCCTTCCGACCGGGTGGCTCATGGACCTGCTGCTCTAGGAGATGCTATGGGCATGGGCCTGAGAGCCAGCCCTGCCCCCCTTCCCAGGGACACCCCCAGAGACCAGCTGAGTCTTGCTCGTCCACTAGACCTTCTCTGGCCACTCCAGCCGGCAGGAGTCTCACTCTCCAGCTTGCCTACCTCCCACCCGCCACACTGCAAATCCTGCCTTATGTCCCACAGACAGTATTTTGTTGTTTGCTCGCCCCACAGGACCCCAGAAGCTAGTCGTCAAACATGTGTATGGTCATCTGTACACAATAGACAGTGGGCACTTGTAGGCTGCTTGAGCTAAGGGAGAGTTCCAGAGCACGTGGGAGAGGAGAGGCAAAGGGATACAGAAACACGGCCAAGAACTTGCAGTGTGATCCCCCCAACAGCCATAGCAATGGCGCTTAGAAGGCAGCCATCATGGATGTAAATAATTCAGTCTCCCAGAGAACTGGGTTTTTGACACGAGGAAAGAAAAAGCCGTGGAGCACCCTAAGACTTCAGGATAAGAGAACAAGTTCCCTGTGGTCCCTCGGAGGGCACTATTCAAAGGCACACAGTGTGGCTACCAGCTGGCAGAGTCTGCTGCAGGAGAGAAAACTGGGGGTGTTTATGTCTAAAATTATATCTAATGAAAATGTATTATTTCCTATGTATCTCCTGCTGGCTACTCTCAAAGACCTTGCTGTGCCCCATGACAAACCCTGGGTGAGCTACTGAACCCAGTTCAAAAGGCAGAGCAGTACCCGCTGCCTGATGCCCCTCGTGACAGGCTGGGGTCCGCATTCTTGGGAAGAATAGCACAAAGGGGGTGGCACTGGGGTATCGATGACTCCGTGTGTCACTGGTGCTGTTAGCCTGGTCACTTGGCTGGACTGCCCCCACTGGCCACCTCTCCCAGGCCAGTCCCTCACTCACGGCGCTGGGGCACAGAACCCTGTGAATGGCTCCAGGGCGATATCTATTGCTCGTGTTCTGTCTTGGACATGTCTGTCCTGAGAATCTGAGCAAACCTTACAACCCGGTTTCTACTACTAGATAGCTGGAATTTTTTCAGAATCCATCCTTGCTAAGAGTTTTTTTCAACAAGACAAATGGTCAAGGCCATGTCCAATATTACCTACCAGTTCAATTTAGGTTAACGGAACATCACTTGGGCATTTGGCTGGCAACCTGAGACAGCTCAATTACACTTTCAACTAGACCGGAACCATTCTGGAAAAACTAACATTTACACCAGGCAGGGTATGCTGGCTAGAGGCAGGTCTCAAGATTCCCAAATACATCATAATTATCAATAGCTAACATTGGCAGGCTGTTTACTACACACCTGGCATTGTGTGAGGACTAACTGAATCCTCACTACCATCCTCTGAGTTAGTATGACTCTCATTTTATAGATGAAGAAATATACCATCTCTCTTTTTCCCACACTTGCTAGTAAAGGCCCGCACTCCACATTTCTATGCCACACTGCCCCTTGCAAAATGATTTCATTCTGCCATAGGATACCATTTATAAGGCATTGCTTTAGTGGTGGGGAATTTGGAGTTTGAGAGGGTCTTTGCTGCCTAGAATCCAAATATTCTTAAAGAATGAAGCAGCATCTGAATTCTGAGCCTGACTCAGCCATTAATCAAGATCGTCTTAGGATGTCCTCTAGTACATTAGACAAAAGCAAGTGTGGCCATCACTGACTAAGCCAGTTATGTCCTGAATGTCCAGTGTATTCTAGCTCCGGACCCAGTATTGTGGGAAATCCAGAGCAGCATAAGATATCAGCCCTGCTCTCAAGAAGCTTAGAATATAGACATGGAAGCAAAATTCACATGTGAAATGATCACCAAAAGCTTAAGTGGCAATAACCAGGAGCTCAGAGTTCCTGAAGTGCTTGGAGAGGCTCACAATGGAGCAGAACTGGGACTTGAAGGGGGGTCAGAGCGGTGGGCACAAGAGAAGGATGCACCTTGCCAGCAGGATGAAGGGCTGGGGAGAATGCTGGACATGGCATCTGCGGGGTGATGGGGACACAGTGTCACAGCCCTGGGCCAGTCTCAGGAGAGAAGGGGCAGGGTGGGGAGCGGGGAGTGGCCAGCCTGGGCACACTGAACCTCCCAGGGCTTCTGACCTTGCCTTGCCTTGTGCCTCGAAGCCTCCGTCCAACCAAAGGACCAGGGTTCCTTCTTAATTTGCAAGCTACTTCTGTGTGACTCATTGTACTGATCAGTTCTCATTCACAACTGAGATCAACAAAACCACGAAGCCCAGGAGCTCCTGGGTCCCATCGGTAGCCTGTGACCCCAGCCTTAGAAGAAGGCAAGGAGTCTCTGCCCTGCTGCACCCTCAACTTTGTCTCCATGGTCTTTATCACTTTCATTCCCTGCTCCTCATTTCATTTCTTGTCCTCTCTGTCCTCTGACCGCCCTCCTACTCATCGACATGTTTTCTTCTATTGTCAGGAAATGGTAAAACCTAAGTGTCTCCTCCACTGGTCAGCATATATTCTACCTCCCTCTCAACGTGTTTCCTGGCCCTTCCCCTTGTGAGGACCTTCCCCACCTCTGAGACTCAAAGCACTGAGGCTCAGTGCCTCTCCCCAGCCCAAAGTGGGGCAGCAAGCCCCCTCAACCTGCCCCGGGCGCTGTGCAGGGAGGCCCGGGCTGGAGGCATCTGTCACCATTGTCCGGGCTCCTCATGGTGACCTGGCGGTGAGCCTCCTCCATGTTTCCTGGGGATGGAAACAGCAAACACTAATACAAGGTCAGATCTTCCCACCATCTCATTTCTATCCTGCCTTCTGGAAGGAGGAGCCAATGTTAAAATTCCCTCCCTGAACACTCAGCATAAGGCTGGGGCATCCTGGACCCAGCTGCCTGTAGGTTTCATTGAGAAGCCATTTCTCCAGGCGGTTCACATAGCAGCCCAGAGAAAGGAGCCTAGGCATCTCACAGGAAGCCTGTGTGTCTTCCGAATCAGGTATTTACAGAAGGAGAATCTCCCCAGAAGAGACGAAGGAGGTTAAACAGGGTTGCACTCTGTCCCATAACAGCTCTTGGGGGCACGAGTCTCCAGCAAGCCAGGCGGATCCCAGAGTTCTTTCCCTGGGTAACAAGGACCTTCCCTCTTGGGTGATCCTTTCTTTCAACAATCCTTCCTCTGTCCCTGTGTCGTTGGGTCTCTTGTCCCCGCATGACCTGACTTCTGCATGACCTGTGATCCTGGAGACACGAAGTGCTTTAGTTTCGTTGCTGTGTTGAGTTTCCCTCCATCCACCAGTGTTCACTACGTGGCCCATGGAGCCAGCTCTGGGCTGGGCCCTGAAACCATTTACAAAATCCAGAAAAACCGGGCCTTTAAACTGGAGGGATCCTAGCAGTCACCAATCCAAGCCCTCCGCTTACAGGTGAGGAGCCCAGTGTCCAATCTGCTGGAATTTTTTGCTCAGGTTCACATAGGCTTCTCATGATGAAGCTGAGAAAAGTACTCAGCTCCCCATAAATCTCTGGCTGCGACTGTGAAACCAGATAAGGAAGTTTCTTAGTGAAGGTCTGAGAAACGAGGTGATGAAGCCTGTGAACTTGGGGCAGCTAGTGGACATCTCTCACACTCAGTCGGCTGAATTCTTCAGGGTCACTTGTTTTCACTGGGTTCTGGGCAGGTGGACCTGGACGGTGATTGGCCTGCCCACCTGCCGATCCCAAGATTTCTGTTCACTGACAGAAATCCCTGATGGAATACACAGTCTCTTTCCAGGGCGTGTTGAGTGGCACATAGATTGCAGGGAGAGTAAATATTTTACACCTCTCTAGGGAAAAGGCACAGATAAGCACCTGCCCCAGAAAGCAGCGGGAAGTGTCAACAGCACCTTATCCTATTCCCCACATTGGAGAAGAGGGAAAAGATGAGCTGTATTTCACAGACGCCAAAGCTTCTCTAATTTGTCTGGCTCTGCTCTCATTACTAACCCAGAACGGCATGACAGAGCCCTGGGGGCTGCATTAAAATTCTCCAACAGAGGTGTTCATCAGTAAGCACCGAGGATGGGAATACAGAGGGGGAAAGTGATCCCTCCAAGATCATAATGAGGCTAAACAAAACCCCCAACAAATAACAAAGCAGAATCGCTGGGCGAATCAGTGACAAACTGATAATATTAATTGAATGTGAAAATTTTCTGCCTTAGGAGACATTGTGGCCCAGATGAATGCCTGAGTTCTCAGATCTGGGAACGGAGTGCTTCCAGATGGTAAGAGAGAGAGCATATTGCCCACTGGGGATACAAACAAGACGGCGGTGAGCTCACTAAACTTGGATTCCCCACAGGTCAGTGTGGGAAGGTCCAGATTCTCATAGTTGGAAAGAACCTCATAGTTGGAAAGGGTTTTTTCCATTTCAACTTGCAGTTAAAAAATGGACTGCAGTGTTGGCTTTTAGTGACTGCTGGTTATTTTCTAAATACTAACAAGTTATTAATTTGGATGTTCTCATCATTTCCTAATACTCTTTCTTTCAATCCTGTTTTATTGGCCTGGCTACCATGCTATTGAATGTGCACATATAATGTAGGTGTGGCGGTGGGTGGGGGTACAGACATGTTCATGCCATAGCCCTCAGGAGCTTACAGTAAAACAAGGAACATGACATACTTTGATATTCTTGAAGAGTTTATCATTTCCTCACAAATGATTTTGCTTGTTGAAAGCCCCTCCCTCTATATAAATAACCAAAACAAACTGAAAGTCAGGAAAAATTATAAACATGTTTTCCCATGTCAACTCACCGCTAACATTCCCAAGGTCATCTGGCTTGGATCCTGGTCATCTGGCCAGAATCCGACATTGTTTGGAAGTGGAGAAGGTCCCCTAGAAACATCATCATGGGTTTTGAGACAAGTCGTGTGTCTGCATCACACCTCCTTCTGAGAAGAAATAGGGGACATGCAGGGAAAGGCTGGATAAGAAAGCAAGGAACCCAGTTTTGGAAGGGAAAGAAAGTAATGACTTATGATCAGAAAAACACAACAAAAGAATTTCCAGGAAGCACTATTCATGAGAAGGAGCAAAGAACAACCACACACACTGCAGACACAAAGTGAAAGCTTTTATAAGCATTTTCAAATAGGGTTAGAGTGGGATACAGCAAGGCACACAGAAAAGCAGGACAGAGGAGCAAAAACAAATATTACAAAATGAGGTGCAGAAGGAAATGATCAATGCTTAGAGATTATAATTTAAAAATAATCTTGCCAGAGACAGAAAGATGAAAACAATAGATTTAGAAAAAGAATCTTTGTAGATTTTAAAATAAAAGGAAAGTCCCATAGGTTAGGAATTCTGCAACTACTTTGTGGTATATGGTTGAACAAATAAATATATTGTAGATAATGAGAATTAAGGGTCTCGCTGTCAGAGAAAGAACTTACAAGTAAGGGAAAGGGAGAAGGCTAGAAAAATTCTGTGGTGGATTGGAGTTGAAGGTATCAATGCGGACTTATAACTTCATTTTAATATACGTACTGAAAAACAGATAGGGGCATAAATACAGATGTGTGTATGCTTGTGTTATATGGATATATATACTCTCAGTTATATCCACTGAGGGAAGCTAGAAGCAGCAATGACAGCCCAGTATCAATGAGCACAATTATCATCCATGACTTGGCTTCTAAATACTATTCTCAAAAAAACAAAAATAAAAAACACCTAAAACAAAAACGGAACCAAGGCTCTTTAGTTGAAGTTGTTGATTCCAGGACTGAAACAAAAAAAAATTCGAGATGAGCCTGGAGCATTTTGCAGAGCTAGAAAATGAGGAGGCAATGAACAAAAATGCACATATTAAATGGGGACAGAAACCAGCCTGAATGAGCTCACAAAGGCCAAAGTCAGAACAACTTGAGCACATAAATAAGTAAAATAAACAACAATAGTATTGGATTGTAACTCAAAGAATAAAATGAACATCTGTTGAGTTCACACTGATAGAAATAAATAACCGAATAAACAAAGGGATGAATGGAGGGGCAATTCTTCCTTACAGCCAAATTCTAATTAATAAATATAGAAACAAACAAACAAACAAAAAGTCACCAGTAGAACAACAGAGTAATATTGGTACAAGCAAGATCCACTGGTAAAGGCTAAAATTCGTGCATGAAAGTTTAAGCAGAAACAGGATATCTAGAGAATCCCAAAGTATTTTCCCCAAAATATTTAGGCTAAAAGATTAACTTCACAGCAGAGAATCATGGCAGAGGCCACTTTGGCCAAGGGACTGAGGCTGACATCACCAGTAACACATGTCGACATGCTGTGCCATTTGATAAGGTGCCCAGAGAAGGACATGTCCCCTCGGTGGGATCCTTCCTACTAAGGCACAGTCTTGATCTAATCATGAGAAACAAGAGGAAAATGCAAATACCTCACCAGTATTCTTCAAAAGTACCAAGGGCATGGGAGTCAAGGAAAGACTAAGGAGCGGTCACAGACTATAAGGAGACCTAACCAAGGACACTCGTGAAAAAACCTGGTGAAATCCAAGTCAACCACAGTGGTTACCCGTGGCAGAGACATGGACGGCTTCCCAATAATACCCCTTTGCAAACTCCCATTTTCCTTCCTAAAGCGTGACGGTAGGTGAGCCTGACTTGGACTCCATGGTCAAGACAGACATTTCAGAGGGTGTGAGGGCGTTGCAGAGGGGCAGAAAGGATGACAGGGAGTTGGCCAACTGCAGAGAAGGAAGGGTCCAGGAAGAGGGGGCCTTGGAAGAGGCCAGAACCCATGACGCTGGGATGGAACAAACAAGTGGGTGGGTCACACGGGAGGAAGTGAGAAATGACAGAAGCCAAGCCGTGTAGGGCCTCCAAGGCCACATTAAAGATTGGCATTTTAGCACAAGTATGATGGGAAGCTATGGAAGGGTAGCTTGATGCAGATGGAGCACCCACATATTATTCTTGCACAGGGTTCCAGGCAAGGCAGGCAGAAGCTGGGATGAGAACCAGAGTCTCCTGACAGCCCATATTCTTGGCCGATTACCTCCCTGCTGGTGAATTCAAAAGTCTATAAAACTCCAGGCAAAACCTCTAAGTACACATGTTGGATTGGCCTGTATGTATTTATTTTACTCCGCCTCAAAGTGTCAGTAAAGGAATAAAACTGTAATAAATCCACAGATTAAAACCACAATGAGATACCACCTCACACCAGTTAGAATGGCAAAAATTAACAAGACAGGAAACGACACATGTTGGTGAGGATGTGGAGAAAGGGGAACCCTCTTACACTGTTGGTGAGAACGCAAGCTGGTGCAGCCACTTTGAAAAACAGTGTGGAGGTTCCTCAGGATGTTAAGAATAGAGCTACCCTACGACCCAGCAATTGCACTACTGGGTATTCACCTCAAGGACACAGATATAGTGAAAAGAAGGGCCATATGCACCCCAATGTTCATAGCAGCAATGTCCGCAATAGCCAAACTGTGGAAGGAGCCAAGATGCCCTTCAACAGATGAATGGATAAAGAAGATGTGGTCCATATACACAATGGAATATTACTCAGCCATCAGAAAGGATAAATACCCAACTTTTATATCAACATGGATGGGACTGGAGGAGATTATGCTAAGTGAAGTAAGTCAAGCAGAGAAAGACAATTATCATATGGTTTCATTCATATGGAGAACATAAGCAATAGCTCGGAGGACCATAGGGGAAGGGAGGGAAATCCAAAGTGGGAGAAATCAGAGAGGGAGATGAACCACGAGAGACTCTGGACTCTGGGAAACAAACTGAGGGTTTCAGAGGGAAGTGGGGAGAGGGAGGGGGTAACAGGGTGGTGGGTATTAAGGAGGGCATGTGCTGTGATGAGCACTGGGTGTTATACTTAACTAATGAATCACTGAACACTACATCAAAAACTAATGATGTACTACACAGTGGCTAACTGAACATAATAAAAAATCCACAGATTAAAGAGAATAGAGGAGAAAACAGCACAAGACAATAAATAACAAAATAAGAAAATTGTGGATAATGAAAAGCAGGCAGAAGAATGGAGCCAGAGGAAACCCAAGTGTCCACACGGAGGAATGCTAAGTGGACCAACGACAAGAAGCAGGTCAGGTTCCGCCTGGAATCCTAGAGCTGCTCAGAAGTGGGGGGGCGGAGGTCTCAGGCTAACCAAGCTGGGGCCGAGGAGCAGTCTGTACAAGGAGGAGTTCGATCTCGGCATGCCTTTCCTCAAACACACGGGATCACGGAAGGGTGATTTTGGGGGGAAACTGCACCAGAGCCTCCAGGACCGCCACCCCCCTTCCCAGTGCTGGTCACGACACTTGCCCCCTCCCCAGTGGGAGAGTGGAAAACAGCCTGAGATAAGACCACGGATTTAATTTTGGAGGAAGGAAATGATCCCAAAAGGAGATCACTTGATGAATACTCTATCATTAACATTTTTCCAGTTAAAAGAAAAAAATACCTGTGGTGGGCAGAATAATTACCCCAGAGGTGTCTGGGTCCTAGCCCCCAGAAACCTGTGACCATGTTGTCTTCTGTGCCATAGATGTGATTAAGTTAAGGGTCTGGAGATGGGAGAGTAGCCAGGTGGGCCCAATGTAATCACCGGGGTCCTTAAAAGCAGAGAATCATTCCCAGCTGTGGTCCAAGAGATGCAACACTGGAGCCATGAGGGTGAAGGAAGACAACATGAGCCAAGGAGTGTGGGTGCTTCTAGAAGCTGGAAAGGGCAAGGAAAGCGACCCCACCCTGGGGCCCCCAGGAGGAACCAGCGCTGCAGATACCTGTGTGGGACTCTGGGCTGCAGGACTATAAGATAATAAATCTGTGCTGGTTTAAGCCACCAAGTCTCTGATAACTTGTTACAGCAGTGGTAGTAACAGAAATTATAAAAAAGAATAGTAATTACTATTACCGTAGTAAAAAAAAAAAAAATTTACCAAGACATAGCAAATAGTATGGAAGTCACTTTTTGGGGTAACTGGTTGGAAGCAGCGGGCTCCGGGCACAGACAGAGCTCTGTTCTTTGTCAGCCAGGATATTGCCAAGCATGACCCATCCCTGCGTGTGGGTCAGCTCTCGACTTCTCCTCTATGAGGCTCTTCCCCTCCTTCATCCACGCCCCTGGTTCCGTGTAGGGTGAATTAGCACTCAGGCCAAATCCTTCCTCTTCAATTATTTCCCAAAAGGCAAGAAGCAGAACACAATCCAGTCTGAGGGGCTTCCCTGAATCCCAATTATAGCATTGGCTGAGCGGAGGCAGCCTTCTGAGGAGAAACCCCGAATTCAGTCTGTGGTGTTGTCAGCAAGCTGTCTGTTCTTTGTCAGCAAGGTGTTTTCCTGTCTGATGTCTTGGCTCTCTGCCACTGGGATAAAAATTGTGCTCTTCCAATTTGTTCAGCTAGCACAGTGTTCCCCTTACTACCCCATAGGAATAGCAGGATCCCACGTGACGCATGAAAGGGAGAGTTTTGTGGTTTAGACCAGAGAAGGAAAGAAAATGAATTTAAAATTCCTCCCCCAGGGAGAGGCACTTTCTCTCTCTAGCTCTCACTCTTGCGCCTCCTTTTAACTTGGTATTTCGTGCACTATTTGCAATCATATCAAAGATGATAGGAAATGCCATGGAAGGAATGTTCCCCTGCTGCTGGTAGCATGCCTCCCTCGCCTTGACTTTTCAGCCTGTGCCCCTCATCGACGGGGCGTCTCCTAGCTCTTCAACACGAAAGAGTCACAGTGATCTCTTAGCAAATGTGACAAGTGTCTTATACCTGTGGGATAAGCATTCAGTAGATTTGTATTAATTATCTACTACCGCCTAACAAACCACCCCAAAACTCAGACTTAAAGCAATAAACATTTATTACCCCACAGTTCAGCAGGGGTTTGTAACACAAGGACCATCAGGAGTCGCTGTCAGATGAATCAGGTGAAGGCTCTTCCAAGATGGCTCCCTCACATCCCTGGCGAGATGGCGCTGACTGCTGGTAGGAGGCCAGTTCCTCACCATGTGGACCTCTCCACAGGATGACTTAAGTGCCCTCACAAAGTTGTGGCTGGTTTTCCCTAGAGCAGTGATCCAAGAGAGAGCCAAAAAGAAGCCACAATGCCTTCTATGACCCAGACTTGGAAATCCAGGCCCATCACTTCCACAGTACCCTCTTGGTTACAGGTCATCCCTGTATGGGAGGCAGGGGGTGGACACCAGATGAAAATTGTTGGAACCATGTTGGAAGCAGGTACTCTAATTGTAGAAAAAGAAAACAATGACAAAGCTAGGTTTTAGTGGTTTATGAGTTGCCCACACTGCATTTTCATGTTGACTTGTCCTGAAGCCTTCATTATCAACCCACTAAGCCAGTCTTATGCTCCATCCTCCTCAACCCCAATCCTTGCCTTTTGCTTGTGGTCAGAGATTACAATCCACTGGCTGAGAGCTGATCTTGATTGACACGTGGGAAGAAGCGATGGATGGCAGTGTTGGTGAATGATTTGAGTCACTAAGTCATTTCTCTAACCTTCAAATTTCTTCTCACACTCAGGGTGATGGGACCACCCCAGCAGACTTTCTGAGAGACAAGGGAATTTATATGTGATTCACACAAAGCAAACTTCAGCTGACAAGTTGAAGGCCTCCCACAAATTTGATTTGGTGAGTCACTTTGACTCTATTGCTGAGTTCACTCATCTGTTGAACAAGAGTGGAAGAGATCAGTGGTTCTTGAATTTGACTGATTATCTCATTCTTCTGTGTTAAAATCAGATTCCTAAGCCCCATCCATGA